TGTAGTCATTCTAGAAGGAAAAAGGCATAATTGATATTTATTTACTGAATTTTTTTATGGTGGTTACAAAACTGGTCAAATCGACCGAACCTGTACAGAGATTCATTAGTGAAAATAACGGATAAAATACAGGTTTTCCTTAAGAAACATTTGATAACTATTTGGACATCATAAAGATTTGACATGCGAAATTTGAAAATTTTCTGATGCATAAAAGTATATTTAATCTTAAAATGAAAATTACTTTGCATGTTGGATATGCAATATGTGAAAAGAAAAAAAGCATGAGAAAAACATTGCTTAACAAACCATAAGACTTAATAAAAGAAATGATATTTTGCATATGAAAAACCTTGTAATGTTTCCTGATAATCTCCCAAATTTTGTGAACATATCCTTACTAAATTAAAAGTTATAGCATGATAAATTTAACAAGCACAAAATGGTTACGAGGTCGGTCCCAGGGACTGAGCCCGTGCTGAAAGAGTTAAGAAGCAATATGTAATGGTACTTTACACTATAAAATTACACATCAAGAAGAGTTATACTTTGTATCTTCATATTTTATGTCATTGTGAAATAAACATTTTACTTACCATGTTTCCTACTTCTGTAAATTAAAACACAAGTGAAGCAAGAGAGAAAAATAAAAGATGCAGCAACCATATAAGCAGCAACCATCCATAATGTTGAGCTAAAGTAACCATCTTGAGCAATCATTTTCTCTACCACATCTGAAATAAACCACAAGTTTAAGAAATGTTTAACCATTGGCCTTAAGTTTTATTTAACGTGTCAATTTATCATTCTTTTTAAATAAGAGGACTTGATGCTAAGGAAAAACAAAACAGTAGACATAAGTTGAAAACTGTTAAAATTGACAAAATGCCTGATCAACTGATAATTATGTTTTGATTCACTTTCACGTACCTTCAAACCTAAAGTGGAAGTGGATCAAAACATTGTTCAAATGCCAGTTAATAAAGCATGATGATAATTTCACCAAAATTCGACTTTATGCTGAATATTCACTTAATGTTCCAAACTAACCAGTAAATCAAGTAATTGAAGTTATCATTTTCATTACTTGAAAATATATTTCAGATAGACGCCCACCTCTCTTGTATAAGCCACAAGTCTTGAACAAATCTCCCACCCCTCACGTCTTTAATGTGTATTGTGCCAGACCATGATGTAATTATTATACTATAACCCTCCACTAAATAGGAGGGTGACATATCTTGAATGCACAGTACCCCCATGAACATTAGTATGTGAAGATTGGCTCATTCTTGATGAGTTAAATTAAATGCACCAGAAGTGGGGAGAAAGAGTGGTAGGTTATGCAGAGAGTTGAGTATTTATATGAAATACATTTTCAGATAAGGAAATTGTTAACTTCAGAAAAACTAGAATCTTACAATAAAGATGTTGGAGGGGCCAGTATAGAGAAATTACAAAGATGAACTTCTTTCTGAAAACAGCATCAGAAAGGGAAGACTCGTGGAATGTGACACCCATGAGGTGAGGCTACACTGGGACCACACTTGGTGGGAAATCATCTCCATCTCAAGCACAGAATATTCTTCGCCCAATAGAGATGGAAGAGCAAATGATGTTATAAGAATCTCTTGCTGGGTACTAACGTGTCACTGAAGTGGGTGGAATGGCAGATTGCCCAACCATCCATTATCTTACAGGAGAAAAATTAATGCATGAGTGTGTATTACCTAGGGTTATAAATCAGGTCATTCTATACTGAAGAAATACTTTTGTGAGTTACTCACTACAAAACATAGGTGCAGGGAGTAGCATCCTAGACATGTGTTCTAAGGCAAACCCAAGAACCATCCAGCTGGATCTCATCAACTTGGTTCATAATGTAGTGGGGTGTCCTGTACTATAGAACCATGTAACACTCCAGTCCTACTTCCAAACAATGGGTGCAACCAATCAGTCTCATAACAGTGGGAATGCACCTCCTGATAAGAGTCTCTCCATAACAACTTCCCCAGATGCTTGGGATTGTGGAAACAAGAGTTCCCCCATCTTGTGGAGAAGAGCACCGGAAAGGTGCATGGACCACTGATACCATGCACAATAATCTGGAATTGGGTCCCACACTGAGAAATAATGCAATGGGCTACCATAACTAATAACAACAAGGAACATAGTTGGTGCTGCCTTCTTTTCTGTCAAGTGCAGAATGACCTGGAAGATTGATACACATAGACACTGCTGAAAAAGCCTTGTGGAAAACCCCATCTTTACAGTGGGCACTAAGCAGAGACAGATGGGCCTAACACTTTCTGTACTTCATCGACTGATGCTAATTTTGAGTAAGAATTCCATATGAAGTAACATCAGCCAGCAGATGAGTTTCAATGTCATAAGGTGAGGGAGAGTGAGACCTAAGAATGAGCAGGTGATAATGTGAAGAACAATAACACTCACCTCATGAGAAAGCCTGTGGATAGACTGGAGAATGACAGCAAGTGGGAGGAAAAGCCAAAAGAACAAAAAACTTCTAGGTGATGGGAGTAATGTGATACAAATATGTTAGTTGTCATCCCCATCCTGGCCTGTAGGATATCACCCAGGGGAAATGGAAAAAACTATGAGATGACAAATCTGATGGAAGGTGACATGGTAAATTGTAAGAGCATCTTCACCCAAAGAAGAATACACCAACTGACCAACTCATGAGAGGAGGAGACATCTCATGACAAGAAGAGACAATAGTAGAGACACAGAAGGGGCAGTTTGAGTGAGATAGCAACGGAGAGCACAAACCAGACACAAAAACAATCATGGTTGGAATGATCATATGAAGAAGAAACGGGAGAGTGAGTTGTGAAAGAAAACATCTGATCACTCTCCTAGGCATTCCAAATTTTTCAGAGAAAGAAGTGGTTTGCTACTAAAATCATCTAATCCCTGTGATAAAGAGAGAAAGAGGTTAACTGTCTAAATGAGATCTCTCGCAAACAGATAGAAGTAGAAAATATGTTTTCAGGGAAAGATGATACATGGAACAGGAGGTCAAATGTTCAACTCATGGAACTAATGAAAGCCTGGTAAACAACTCAAAGGTTCCACTCCAGTGATCACTGACAAGGATAACCCTCTGTCAAAAAGCCAGATAAAAATCGTAGTAAGATGAGACAGAATAGGACAAACTGGTTTAAGGAATGATGAAGGGACTAGCAGTAGTAATGATTCATTTGTGCTGATCGAAGGCCAGTGTAAAAGGTTGATTAAAAGGAAACAGAAAATTAGCTACTCTGTATGAAAAGCTCAACTGTCATGCAAGGAACCAGACAAATCCCATTCATGAAACTGAAGATATGACACCCTGTTGTGGACACCTGTGGCCATGGAGAAGGGATTACCAAAGGGGGAATTGGAAGAGGCTTCCTGGAAGATAAATAGTACAAGTACAAAAAGAAAAGAAGAGGAAATTAGTATTATGAGGAGTTGCAAAGTTATTGATCATAGACTCACAAAGTGGGGAGAAATCCACTGAAATCCCAAAGAATGAAGAGGTCACTCAAAGCGAAGGATCCAGTACAAGTAAGACAAGGTATCCGTTACCAGATTCAAAGCTCCCGGGACATGACAGGCTGACAACTGAATTTGATGGTCATGGCCCCAAAAGAGAAATTCTAGAGTAAGAAAATGCAGATCATGAGAACAAGTGCAACCCTAACAGTTGATATGCGATAAGACCATGGAATTGCTTGAATGGATCATCAACAGATAACTAGTAAACTGAGAATGAAGACATTGGCAAGCCTGATAAGCAGTCAACATTTCCAAGGCAATGATAGAAAGAGACTGCTTCCTGGAGACCAAATTCCTGAGAGGATGAAAGTAGCCAGAACCCCAGAGAGGCATTGGTGTATAGATGCAGAGAAGGATGGTGAGATGAAGGTAGTCATGTGGGCTGATAAAGAAACCTGATACATGTTTCACTGATCACCCAGTATTTGTTAAAGGAGAAGCATATGGGTGCATCCATTAGGAATAAGGGACTGAAGGGAAGGCAGAGTCCCTAAAGTCAGAGAGCTCTTGAGCAGGTAGAATAGGAGACCAAAGAGCCTTAGAAACTAGAATCTCTATGGCATGAAGAGATACAAAAATGACAGCTTAGCCTGCTGCTCAAACAAACTGAGAAAGACACCCAGATGGACCAGATACTGAATGGGGGTCAAAACAGACTTGAATACTATACCAGCCAATCCAGATGAGATGCCTTCCAAAGAAGACTCTGCTGGAGCTTGTTCAGATAGAGCCAGCAGGAGCCAATCATCTATATTATAATTGAACTGAAAACCCAAAGAATGTATTTGCAGAGCAAATGCTTACATCATCCAATTGAAAACATAAGGGGCCCCTGACAACCTGAAGGGAATGGCTGGGAACTAGAAAACTGAAACTGATGATTGTGGACAAACAAGAAGAAACAACAGGATGACGGACAAATCAGGAAGTAAAGAAATGTATTGGGAACATTAAATTTGGTTATTCACAAAACAGAAGAGAACGCTCATCTCAGATTGAGAAACTATCAATCATGAATGGAGGAATTTTGAGAAAAAGATTCAAAAATGAGAAATCAATTACAGGGTTCCAATCCCCAGCCTTCTTGGGGATGACAAAAAAGGGATTAAAATCTCTGAGTAGTGTGATGAACCCACTCTATATTTTCTATAGCAGCTTGAGATAATACAGTCTCCATGAGATACTGAAGACACACAGGATTGGAGGAATAGGAGAGAGGGCAGCTCCTGAAGAAGCCAAACTGGTTGAGGCACCTGTGATCTGGTAATGTTGGAAAAAGAAACCAGAAACGACAGTGGGTGAGCAGCTTCAGCCTAAGATTCAAAAGAATTGGAAACACTTCATCACAAAGGAAAGAAGCAAAATGGAGGTCTTGGAGACAAGAGAGGAGGCACACACACACAAAAAAGAATCCCACCCAAGCAAATCCTAAAAAACAAAGACACCATGTCAACAATGATACTGCAGTAGAAGAGAGAAAGGTGGCAAACAAGTTGGAGCACATATCTCCATAAAACTGTCAGGGTTACAATGAAAAGAAGGTGAAACATAGACAAATAGTAAAGGAGCTGTGTGATGGTGAGACGAAAGTGAGTAGATTGAAGATAAGTAGGAGACAAGGTAGAAAAAAGGGGATACAACAAGTGAGAAGGAAAGATCCTATGGAAAAAGAGTCACAAAGGTGAAGAGGTGGAGGTTGATGAGGGTCAGCATGTAATTGGGGCATAAAAGCATCAGCACGAACACAAATGACTGGGGATGGAGGGAAGAAAAGAAAGTTAGAAGATGGAGGTTCATGATGCAAAGCAACAGAAGACTCATAAAAACTCCTGGAAAAACAATGTCACATACTTAAATAATCATAGTTATAAAGCAAGAAGGCAGAGGTACCTGTTCTTCATTAGAAAGAGAAGAACCAGAACCAAACGTAAGTGGAGGACAACTAGTTGAAGTCATCATTAAACAAGACAAGCTCAACAGAAGCAACAGGAATAGAATGATGAAGAAACCTAGAGGGCAGATGAATGAGGCAAAAGAATAGCAACTATCTGATATACAATGTTGGTAACATCACTGAGAAACAAAGTACCTCTGGTCACTGTTGAAACAGCAGAAGAAGAATCTTGAAGTGGAGTGTCAGGGCCTCATGAAGTAGTGGGAATTTAGGTCTGGAAATTCATAATCAAAAATGACCCATAAGTCAACAATGGTTGTCTTTTATAATTTGTTTTTTTTTCTGTTTATAAAGTATTTAAAAAATGAGGGTGCTCATAGTCCAAGAACAATAACAAAAAGGACTCTTAAGGCAAACTAAACAAGCAAGCCAAAGAAAAAAGTAGCATAAGAAAAAACATGCTGGAACACTAGCATTGCAGAATGAGCCAATGTTTACATGCTAGTGCTGAAGGGGATGACAGTGCATGAAGGATTTTTTACTCTCCTATGAATGGAAGGCTACAGTATAATGATGGTTACATCATAGGCTGGTGTAATACACATAAGTAAGGGTGGGAACTTGGTTCAAGGCTTGTCGCATGCAGAAGAAGTTACGTGGCAGTGCACGCAAGGTAACTGCTCTTTGTGGTGCATAGAGGTGAGTAGTGTTTGCAATTATTACCATTTTTGACTATTCCAAATATTCAGCAAATAAATTATTAGTATATTACTTAATATCAAGAAAACAATCAACTAATCAAAACTAGATTCAATTATTCTAACTATGCAGTAATCTAAATATTGCCATTACAAGCTTTCATTACTTTTGATTACTTCAAGTTTGTTCAGCTTAATTGAGTAGTCATGACTCAAAAAAGTAATTAACTAAACAAAATTAAGGTTCCCAATTATTAATATTTTTTATTATTCCAACTCTTATCCAAGCAACTGAAATAATGACATCATGTTTGTTATTAAGTAAAGCTACACAATGGGCTATCTGCTCTTCCTACCACATGATTCAAAACCTAATTTGTAACATAATTCTTCTTATTAGTCAACACATGAGAATAATTGTTTTCCTTTTGTTTTTTAAGCTATCTGGTGAGAGTAATCAATTAGTTGAAAATAATCGATTAATGATCCAACAATTAATCAATTAGTAAATTCCATTAATTGCCCACTTCTACTGATATCTTTCAAAAAGGAAGATCTATAAATTCCATTCCTAAAATAATCTACAAATGTGATAATACTCATAATTCCAGCATCTCAGAGACTGCTTAAGTAATATTATCATAACAGCATTTACTTTCTACAAGGCCATAAAGTTGAGATGGTTGTATATACTGCAGTTCAATCTCAATTATCCTGCCAGTATTCCACTTAAAACAAGCTGAAAAGTTACATCTTACCACTAAGTATGTTGTTCTTTTTTAAGACTAGATTTTGCTTATTTTCAAATTCCTAAAGAAAAATGAGAATAGCTAGTCATATTATAAGAAGCACTGACAAAAGTTGCTCATCAAATTATATAATTAAGAATGGCTTTACATCTAATTATTTTTGAATGATATATTTTTAAACCTTATGAATCATTGTGAATTTATTGAAGTCTGTAAAGGCCTTAATTCTTACTCTGTAATCAAAATACTTTGGTACTAATAATAAATACATATAAATTTTCCAGTTCTGAGATAGCATTTAGAATCTGTTACATGTAGTTTGTTTTAACATTCTTCCAACACAGATATTTCATTTACACTTTTACAAACACTTAGATACAAAACAATGTAAATGCTTAAGTGACGCTTAAATTTTTAAGGGTAGAAGTAATTCAGTTGATTATAGTTTTATTATTTTTATAAAAACCACCATTAATGCTTAAATTGTAACATTTTACTGTTTTTTATTATATAAAAACAAGTGTTTAAGAAAAGTTCTTTTTTTTAAACATTATCCCCAAATATTTTTATTGTTTAATTTCTTTATCCATATTCATAAGTTTAAAAACTCTTTTAAGCTTCACCTAAAAAAAAAAATCAGGCCTGTGACAGAAAATCCCATTTTAATAATAAGTGTAACTCTACTGGTTTAAACACAGTAACAATAAAATACAATACAATGTGCTAAAAAGCTGGTTTTCCTCTACCTGGTGTATCTAGTGGTCTAGCAGTTGTGACCTTCACAGAAGTAGGTCTGCCAGGTCCCAGTTTATTTGAAGCCCAAATTTGAAATATGTACTGTGTTCCTGGTTTAAGATGATAGACTAGAAACTTTCTCTGAAAGAAGAAGAACTGATCATATCATAAGAATAACCATTAGATATAACAAATGAAATAAATGTTCAACACGTTGACTGCCGACTCTAACAGTACACGCCCATCCCATTTTCCAAGCCAAGTACACAAATGTATATGCTTTATTTTCAAATTTTACCCATTTATGAGTAATTATAAGTTAATTTCTAATAGATTGGTGAGGAACTACCATGTTATGAAAAACTCATAGCTGAAGGTGGGGCAAGATTGACAATTCTGTATGCCAGGTACGAGTTATCTTATAGCTTTGTTTTTAGCACTGAATTGACTTTGGTACTAAGTTTCTGTAATTGGCGATTGTGTGCTGTGTACCACGTGTTTTTTGTTGCTCCCATCATTACCCTTCAAGGTGGCACGTACGAACGCAGATCAAGTTGCAAAGCTTCTAAAAGAAACTGATAATGATGACAGTTATGATCTAGACATAGTCTGATGATAGGACTGCAGAAATAACCTTCAGATGACAGAGATTTTCAGGTCGAAATGATAACCAGTCTAGTGGTAATGGTGACCCAAGGGTTTCATCAGACTCGTATTCAACAAGTGATGAGAATGGAGTACCGGTAGTACAGTTTGTGAGGTCCGCACCAGACAACCATGCGATTGTTGAGTAAGGACAAGAGGTGGTGGAAATGTTCGTGATAAAAGAGCGACCGTTGCTCCAGCACCAGGCAGAACAGTTGGAAATGTGAACTCTACTATCAAATTGCATAACTGGTCAAATGTTGCATAAGATCCACCTAATTTCACTTTCAATGAAAACTCCGGTCTTAGAATTCAGTTACAAGATGGTCTGTGATTATTTTGACCTACTCCTGACTCCACAATTCCTGGATATTATGGTCATAGAAAAATACCAATATGCAGCAGCTGAAACAACCAAACAGCAACCATTGTGAAGAGAATCACAACTAAAATACTAGAAGGACACTGATGCAACAGAAATGAAAAAGCTTCTAGCCTTGTTGATTCACATGGGTCCAAACAGCCAACCTACCTTGGAGCACTACTGGAGTATTGATATTCTGCACAAGACAATGCTTTACAGTGGTGTTATGAGCCACAACCACTTTCAAATGCTCTTATGTTTTTGGCATTTCTCAGACAATTCCCAACCCCAAGATGATCTTTTGTATAAGATACAACCTCTCCTGGATCACTTCAATAATAAAATGGTCCACATTTACTATCCAGGAAAAGATTTGTGCATCGGTAAATCCATGGTACTTTTGTGTGGCAGGCTCATTTTTCGACAATATTTAAAAAATTAACGTCATAAATATGGAATCAAATTCTATGAACTATGCAAATCATGCGGTCTGGTGCTGAAACTTTGTGTATACTTTGGAGCTTTCCTTGACGAAGATACCAGTTTGGGAAAAGCTGCAGCTGTTACATTTGATCTGATGACTGATAACCAGGACAAAGGTCATGTTTTATACACAGATAATTATTACATTTCTGTGAGTCTAGTGAAAAAACTGACTGAACAATCACCCTACGTATGTGAAACATTCCAGTTTGATTGTAAAGAAAATCGAAGAAGGGGGAACATGAATGGAAGCAGTAAGAATCAGTGGTAGTTTGAAAATGGAAGGACAAACAAGACATGCTCACACTTAGAAACATGCACAGAGTGGAGATAGTTGAGGCCATAAATCGAAATAATAAAATTTTGAAGAAACCCAATATCATCTGCGTCTACAACAATGGCATGTCTGGGATACACAGATCTGACCAACTGTTGTTATAATACTCAGCTCTACGAAAAACCATACGTCAAAATATTTATTCTGAATGCCCTGATCCTGTACCATGAAAATAGGGGACAGCAAATGAAACTCTTGAAGTTTTGTAAGAATTCATCTGCTGGGAAGTAGCATGGTGTATCTTCAAGGCCAGCGTCAACATGCAACTCCAATTCCAATCATGTCACTACCTCATATGTTGCCTGCCACTCAGAGAAAAGAAAGAGAAGCTAACCATGTCGTGTCTGCACAAAGGCTGGGAGGACACAAGAAAGCCACTACATGTGTGATGTCTGCCATGAAAAACCAGCCCTCTGTGTAGAAAATTGCTTTAAGCAATATCATGTACCTCAATAATAGACACATACAGAAGACAGAGAAACATTTGTAAGAATTTACTGGACATTATTTTTTCGTCATTTGGTTATGATGTAAGAACTTGTTAATGTAACATTGAAAGAATAAAATCCTATATTTGGAAAATGTTTATTGATTATCAAATTTTTTTCTCTCATCAAAGATGTAAGAACACTTTTCAGAAAACCAGTTTTGCATGCTGATTGCAAATCTGTTCTTGGTTTTCTTCTAACACATCTAGTTATTGAAATATGAGTGGTGTTAATTTCAGCACAATTCAGGTAATAATCACACATTAGGCTAGTTAACGTTACAACTTTATTAATTTTTCAGTATAATTCTCATAAACGTAATACACATCATACACTTGGTTAAATTTATACAGTACACACTTATGAAAAAGTCCCAAGAGCTATCTAGCCCCCCTGTAATAATATACGATGAAAATGACTTGTTGGCCAGTGTAATTTATTTGTGTTGTAACCATCTCTTCTTTACTCTTAGTTATGTTGAAGTGAGCTTTGTGTAGATACCATGTTCGCACACCTTAGTGAATTTCAAAAGTGCAAATAATGATGCAATATTTGATCATGATTAATACAAAGATGTATGTTCCCCAAACTGCCAGCAGATTTTTTGTTGCATTATCTGGGATGCCAACATTATTCTGTTTACTACACAATAGCGTAATCTTTTCTACGAGAATACTTCTAGTGGCAGAATCTGGTACACCCAGCATTACAAGTATACTCGTAGTCGGTAGTCAACGTGTTAATGTTTCCTCAATTATCGTTATGTTAAATCTTCTACAGCACTTTTGTTTTTACTCATTTACATTCTAAATAGTTTAAAAACTCTAAATTCAAAAAATCACATTTATTTGCAAACCCACTTAACTTTTTCTTCTGGGTAGTACCTATTTATCAGTTATACTATAAAGAGCCCAATCCAAAATAACATTCATGATATTGAAAAATAAACTTTTTCTGCTACTTTAACGAGCACTTTTATCTTTAATTGCATAACTATTATATTATATACTGGTTGTACAAAAGATGTAAAATTATTGTATAATGTTTGTATTATCATCCTATATTACTTTACACTGTGTATTTGTACACAAGCTCCTTCCACAGTTTTTGAGGCTAGGATTACCAAATTATTACTTACCACTATTGGACTAACTTTTATTGATAATGGAAATTCCCTGGTTCCATTAACTGGATGAGATACTGGCATATACAGTAATGTGAAGTATAAGATAGGGTAGCCACCATCATCAGCCACATGCCAACGAACTGTAGCCACAACCATAGAGGGAACAACTGTAACATTCATTAACAAGCCTGGTGGAGCTAAAAGAATAAACAGGGATTGATTGCACCATCATGATACAAGAGCCACTTTCACAATTTACATTCAACTTTTGTTGCCTGGGCATTAAACAACAACAAAAAATAGCAGAGTTTCTAAGACATTGCTTTATAAATATTATGCTTGACTGCAAAGATGGCATTAAATAAGTTAAAGCTATACTTCTGGTTAACAAAAGGGAGGGGGTAGGGTTGCCAGTGCTCTTTTTTTTTGTTTTAAAAATTAGAAACAGTAGTGTTAATATATATTTTTTTCATACTTATTATACCATAACACTTCTCATGCAACATCTTGTACAGTAGGTATTCAGTACATATTCTATTGAATTTATACAGTCACTACATGTTGTCCCTGGTATTTGACCACAATGGTATGCTCTAAAAGTACCATGGCAATGCCAACTGGTGCTGTCACATGATTTTAGTTAGTTTGTTTTTTAATATAATATTTGTTTAGAGTAACAAACATTACATAAACTCATAGATAAAAATTTCCATGTGTGTAATATTTAATATTTTAAATGATTTGTGTAAAAAAAAACTGATACTGCATGACACAGCACTATTTGACTGGTCACAAAGGCAATTAATTAGCACTTGGGACTCTGGCTAGACTTGCTCTATCTGGACTCTGTGGTGCAGTTTTGCCTGTAGTATGGTTAGAAATACTTCACTCAAATGGTCATTTATTGAGATAATAATACAATAGAAATCCCGTAAGCTGCTGATGGTTTTTTTTCAACACATCTCTTGTCCATGATTAACATAAATGTTAGGCCTATTAGCTTCTAATGCTTTTCCAGCTTTCAGCATTTAAATCATAGCTTTTGATAAAATATTTTTTAATACAGTGTGGCCTTCAGCAGTACTTTACTGTCATACAGGCCTAGATACTGTAGCTTCTGTCTATTTTTAATTTTTGTAAAATAGTTAAAATAAAAACTTTGTTACATAATTAAAGTGAGTTTGATATTCTAAAGTGCTTAAAAAGAAAAAAAAGCACACAACATTTATGCATCTTCAATAACAGAAATAATTAATTACAGTTAATTTTGGATAATAATAAAGTTGTTGCTAGTAGCAGTCCCCTGATTTTGCTAGTGGGGGGGGGGGGAACAAACTAGCAACCAATTAAGATACAGAATACAGAGACAAGCATTGTTCATTATTTCTTAATTTCTGGATGAATGAATTGTGCTTTCTATGTCTTTTAAACAATTTCAAGAAAAAAAATGTTTAAAAACTGTAATGCAAATTCCTAAACTTTACAAATTATTACACGATAACAAAAGTTACTCTTGTGCAGAGGTTGAGTACATTATATTAAAATGATTTTGGAGCCTTAACAAGTTTTTAAAGTCCTTATTTAAAATGCTTGTTCATGCTCTATCTGACAACCATGATGTTTGACAATAGCAGTGTAATTTTCATTGCAAAAAGCTCAGTTGTAATGCTGTCGTGTTAAAAGCACAAGATTCTGCCCTATATATTTTTCATAAGTCACCTTGTGTAGAAGGCCAAGAATTTCCCAGTACCTATTTAACAGTCCAATCATAGAGAAATCAATAGATGTTGTGTCCTGCAATTTGACTAACATTTGCATATGGAACAGCAACTATACCTATTTCATTCTCCAGTTGCTTGTGGCATGCAATGGTTAGACAGATATCACATGAAAACAGCTTGTATACTTGTGACTTGCATCACTTTTCCAGACAGAGATCCTTCTTGATTATGTTGCACACTATTGTCATGGATGGTTTTACCACTCATCTTTATGTTCATGGATTCTCACCTGTCACAAGACACCATACTTCGCTTACCACAGCTATCTGCATTTATTGCAGATATATTTCTCGATGGTTCTGATGACTTGAGTTGGTTCATTTTCCTTTGTTTTCCAGTACCATTAAGTACAAGGGATACCACATTTTGGAGATTCTAAATTCCCAATCTGACCAAATTTATGCAATAAAAGTGTATGAATATTTTGTCAGAAAGGGCTGTTACAAAAGCAGTCAATTTTCAGTGGCATCACACTACCTATATAATGCCAAGCAATCTCAAACTGATACATTCCATTCCACCATGGCTTTATATTGACTGTGACTGTCACACTGACTTGCTGATTGCACATTTAAAATTGTTTTAATATAACCAACTCAACCCTCTGTGCCAACGTATATATACGTTCAACTTAATCACAATATGTTTGATAATTTGATCACTCTCATTTTGGCAGAGTAGTGACTGTGGTACATGTAGAAGTAACTTTGTTTCCAAATTTGTTTTAAGCTAATCTATGCACTAATATGAGCACTTCAAATATTCACAGAATAATCATTCTGGTTATTAATAAAAATTCACAATTTATATAATCAATTACGTCACACCGATATTAAATGTGCTTGTCATCAATGACTCACACACATTTTTAACCAATCACCTTCGCTTATTTAAGTTTCTTTAAATAAACTATCAAACTTTTGTCTGATTCTTTATTAAATATTTTTAGCGTATATATTTTGTTTCCAAAAGACCATACGCACTTTTAAAAGTTTTAAAGTAATTCAATACATTACTTGCAAAAGTTCATACTTTTAACAATAAGCCTTGTACTTAGCTGCTGAAGTTTGTAATGATTATCTGCTACACATGTGTAGCTGCCCGCATCCCCTAGACGCAGTCCTGAAGAATACAATCTTCCATCATTGCTTTCAACTTTTAAAGTTAGATTCTTGGCAAGTTCATGACCATCTTTGTACCATGAAAAATGTGGGACTGGATGACCACTAATGTTACAATTTAAAGTTAATCTTGAACCTAGGTCTCCTTCTGTAACAGGTGGTAGTGGTTGGAGAATCCTTATAGATGCTAAAAGTACAAATAAAAGATCTTACAAACTCTCTACTCAATATTCACTTGAAAAAAAAAAGAGGAGAAAACTAAGGTTAAACTAAAATGAATAATGATTATGGCAATGAAAGAAAAACTAAACAGATTAATGGTTTGTACTATTACTAGTACTATGATTAATCACTAATAACTTCTGCTCCAAAATCAAAGCAAGCTACCAAAATAGATCAGAAGTAAAAATTAACTCAATGAATAAAGTAACTTCAACTCAAACATTATCATTTTAAGCAAGGGCAAAGAGAGTAGATGAAACTTTAAAGCTTTTACTTTGTAATCTTTGACTTGGGTTAGTGTTTGCAACAACCAAGTGTACCCCATCATAGTGAAAACGAAATCATTAACAAGTAACAGAGTATATAAGTAAAACAAGGTACAGATACAATTTTTGGTTGTTTAGAATAGTGATACAGTTAATTATTTCACTTGATTCGTTCATTTTCTGTTACACCATACTTTTGATAATAAACAATATTATATATACCCATTGATACAATACAAATTAAAGCCACGACTTACTGTAGTGTAAGTGTAACACTAACAGTGCAAGTAGTGTAATTTGTAAATAATTTGCTTCGTTTGACTTTAAAGTTTAAGTTTAATTGAGTTTGAATTCGAGATACTCTTTGAACTGAAGTCTGAGTATGAAATTACGATTGTTAATCTATGTCTTTATTACTATTAGTGAGTATTAGTATTACTTAACATTAGTAGTACTGCTAATGTTATACACTACTACAGTATATCAAATTATCAATATCATTTAGTATTACAAATTTTAAATTACCAAGTAATTACTAATACTCTTACCTTTCGATAAAACAAATGAAATAAGAAATGACCACATATAAATTCTTAGAACTTTAACTCCGCTCATCTCTCGCCCATCACGTTAATGTCTAATTAATTGTTGAGGTATTAAAATGAAAAAAACCCAATAAAATCAACATTAAAACCATCAAGGAGCCATTTCAATTATCTACCAAGTACATTTCTAACGGAGCTGCCATCTATCAGTGGATTAAGAATATATAAAATAAAGTAAATTTCTTTGAGTCTTTTAATGATGTACTTAGGCATATTTATACCTTTGAAACTGGTTTTTCAGTTTCGATAATTCTTAGTTTATAAGTACTATTATGATATTTATAGTAATATTCACAGACGTAATCTTAAATCTTATGAGAAAATAACAATATTAAACTAATAACTAAAATAACGGACGAAGCAATTCGAGTCACGTCATTCTGTTAAATTGCACGCGAAACACTCTGAACCAGTTTTACGATGTAGCAATTTCTACTTTACTTTTAGCTATGATTTTATTTATTGTTTATGCATTTTTGTTCTAACATTTGGTTCAACTATGTATTCTGTTTGTCTTAAACACTAGCCCACCTTCTTCCTAATCACCTAGTGTATATTAAACGAGTAGTTTTATTATATTAAGCCACCAACACGAGGTTTTCCTAGTGGTGACACATGATACTGAGTTTATGATTAATTACGTAAAACAAATATTAAGTATTACACAATAGAGAGTGAGAGATTAAATATAATTCGAATACCTAAATTGTGAATAAAAGTTTAGTGGCGCTTTGTTGATTGTTTAATCTTTGCTTCTTTTTAAATAATCAGAAGCGTCTCATTCACCATAGAATAGTCTCGTTTTATGGTTTACCAATGATTACTTTTAAGATCTTGGGTAATAAGACCACATCACATTCACCTAGTGCATGTCGAATCATATTTGAACTATCCTGGAACCTAGAATTAAAGTGTTCTTTTAAACATCTCTCAGTTTTCTGACAATCGAGCTGCCTTAGGTGTCCTTAATCGTTGAGCAGCAGAATCCATGAATGACAGTAACTCTTGAGAGAACTGGTTCAGATATTTAAACTTGAAAACATTTTGAATGATCAGTAGAGGTCTAACACATATTGAAGGTGAACTTATGGATAGACTCTGTTGATTACAATGTTTAATTTCTTCTTCAAGATCCTTGAGTGTGAGCCTGTATATAGTAAATAGATCATTACTCTTATCTTTTGGATGTCATAGTTTAGTGACCTGTATAAATTTAGTTGTTGAACGTTTTATTGATGGTAGAATTTATAAAGTTGCTCTTATTTGACAGTTCTTAGGAACTGGTAATTCTATGTGCATGAAACAAGACATTCAATACGGTTTCTTTGAAATGAAGTGGAACAAAACTGTTTCAGTGTGTGTATAGCCAAATGTATGTGGGTGAAGATAAAAACCAACATTACGATATCCTTGTTTGTTGAACACATTTGTGTCAAGAAAGTGTAGAGTAGAACACTGTTGATGTTCATATATGAACTTAATGTCAACATGCCTGCATTTAATATATTCTGCAAATTTCACTAATTGATCTTAATTTTTGAGTACTGCAAACATGTCATCAACAAACTAATTGTGAATAAGCAGTTTGAACTCAGTAGGAAAATCTCTCAACCAACTATTCTCATCAACACACATGAAAACATCGGCCATTACAGATGCTAAGCTAAACCCCATGTTGACTACATCACTCTATTCATAAAATTATCATGGAACTAAAAAATAGCAAGTAGATTCCACCAGTTGTTTGAAAAATTGTCTATTAAGCCAATTAACACATTCCTTGTCTTTGAAAACTAGGTTAAAAATAAAGTTAATAGTCTCATCTTGGGGTAGGTTAGTGAACACAGGTTCAAAATCTAGACTTGCTAAATAAACATCATCAGGCTTGAAGTTTCTAGCATTATCAAACAAATCATATCTGTTTTGTACTCTGTAGCTTTAAAATTAAATTCAGTTAAAAGGCGCTTAAACATTTAGATAGTTAGTAATTGAAACAACCTATGACCTATATAGGTCTAATGGGACAAAGGATTTGTGAATCTTAGGCAACCTATAGTATGTGTAACTGACTGGTCTAATATAGTTATAAGTATTATCATCCATTTTATTCATTTTCTTCAAATTGAGCAATAATTCATTCAGTTTGTTTTTTCTTGTAGAAGTATGGTCTATCATATTGTTACGTCTCTGTATGTTCATTTGTTAATTTTCCTGCGATACAATTCCTTTCTTAAATAAAACTAGTTTATTCTTCCTCAATACAACTTTGCAATACACTTAATTTCCACAGTTACTTTACTTAAACATACGCTATAATTCACAACAATTCACTCACTTTACTACCGCACTTGACTTAATTGTCCGTCTCTATCTCCGCCTGTCAGCAACTATAGTTCCGATCTCTGTATCTGCTATCCTCGGTTCCCACCGACCGTAACTGCTGTCTTTGGTTCCCCACTCTCTCTCTCTCTCTCTCTGCTTGTCTCGTTTTCGTTTTTCGTGGCAGTTATTTTGATTTAAAAATAATTATCTCCTAAGAAATAATTACTAATCAAGGGTGCTCGAAGATTAAACAATCCTCCTTCACCCTGCTTGTGGCATAAGGTTACATTTCAATTAATGGCCAGATTGTCAGGGGATAGATATTTGCACCATGGTTGGGGTGGCGGCAATTTTCTGAAATTCAGCTGTGAGTGGATTTCAGTACATGGCTTTTTTGTAATATTTGGTAGCAAGTTTAGTGATGCGTGTTTTGTACGGTGTGTAGTGAGGTGTGCCTTTTGGTGTAGCATGCAGGTGTGTATCGAGGAAGGCGATAAGCGAGACGTATGACACTGTTTTATAGGTTTTGTAAAATCCTTCATTGATTATTGTGCATATTGCATGTAACCATTGCGCCGTAATCTAGTAGGGGTCTGATGAATGTTTTGT